GTGGCGACTCTGCCAGTAGCTCCCGCGCCATGCCAGTCTCCGCGCTGGAGTGCAGGTCCCCTTGCCTCAGCGCCCCCTGCCCCTTGTCTCCTCACCGCTGAGCCCACAGGGAAGGCCTTGCTGAGCTGGCACAGGACCCAGCCACCAGCTTCACCTGCCAGCCTCGCTACTGCTTGGATGGCTGCCCGAAATCCAAGGAGCTGATTGGCCGTGCCAGGGCAGGGGGTGGGAAGCGGCCCTCAAATCTCACCGGGGTTATCCCACAGAGTCAGCCCGGGGCCCGTCTAGCCCGGTGTCCCAGCTCCAGCCAGCTGCTTCAGGACAGCACCAGGATGCCTGTAGTTGTGGGACAGTTGCCCCCACCCTGGCTAAGTTCCTGTTCTCGGTGCCATGTAGTAGCAGGAAGTTCCAGAGGTCCATGTAAAATAACACTGAATTTCCTGCTTCAACTTTGAATGCCCCTTGACACTGAAGTTATCTAAACAGACCCCATTCTTGTCCTCTAGTGCACCCCCGCCACACCCACCTGCTAGTGTCACCCCAAGTGCACGCCCCAGCCATGCCCGCCCATGGTGTCACACCAAAAGTGCTCCCCAGCCATGCCCACTGGCCAGTGTCACACTGAGAGTTCTCCCCAGCCATGCCCACCTGACACCAAGAGTGCCCCCAACCATCCCCACTTCTCACCGCCACACCAAGAACCCCTGGCCATGCCCACTTGCCAGTGGCACACTGAGAGCACCCCCCCGTCATGCCCACTTGCCAGTGGCACACTGAGAGAACCCCCCCATCATGCCCACTTGCCAGGGGCACACTGAGAGCACCCCCATCATGCCCACTTGCCAGGGGCACACTGAGCGTGCTGCCTCTTCACCTCTGGCACCATGCAGGGCGCATTCCCCCCGCCATGCTGAGCTGCCCTTGTCACCCAGAAGCAGCCACACATAACTGAACCGCAGCAAACGGGTGCTCCCCCTCTGGCTTTCCCCTTTGGCCTCGAGGAAAGTGTACTGGGCTGGGATTCAGGAGACCAGGAGCTGAAGGCTGGCCACTCTTGGGGGCCATCTTGCCCCACATATACGCCTGCACTGGTGGGGAAGGATCCAGCCCTGGAGGCTGCCATGTTAGCCAGATTGTGGAGGGCTCCATGCCCCCAGAATGCAATGTCTGGAGGTTGGGGAAGGGAAGCAGGCTGGGGAGAGGGTTGCGGGCAGCTGCCTGTCAACTGGGGCTGCTAGGAGCAGGGAGCTGGCTGGCAGCAGGCAGGAAGATTCTGGGCAGTGGCCTGCAGAGCGGGGGCGGGGAAGGCATTGCACTGGGATGGCCCTGCCCCCTTGAACTGAGCTGCCCCAATGGGACTGCAGAGCTGCTGGGTGCCTGGGGCCCCGGGTAGTTGGCACCACTCAGCTTCTGGTTGCCCTAGTAAATCCCCCTCTGTGAGCTGGTATGTGAGTGTCAATGGGAGCCCCGCGCTGGTAGCTCGGAGAGCACAGAGCATTGCGGAGCAACAGTCAGCCAGAGTGGAGGGGTGTGCGCCCCATGGTTCCCCCGGCCACAGTGGGGCAGTGTGGAGTATGTGCTCAGCTGTGGAGGCAGAAATGCAGGTGTAACCCACCCTCTGTAGTTGGCCCTCACGCACCCACTGCTGGAATCTGGAGCCCAGATCTGGAGCACACACTTCCAGAAGGTTTCAGAGTAGCAGCCATGTTAGTCTGTATAGGAATGCATCCGATGAAGTGAGCTGTAGCTCACGAAAGCTTATGCTCAAATAAATTGGTTAGTCTCTAAGGTGCCACAAGTCCTCCTTTTCTTTTTACTTCCAGAAGGGTGTTGATACATTGGAGAGCGGTCAGAGAATGATTAAGGGATTGGAAAACCTGCCTTGGAGTGATAGACTCCAGGAGCTCAATTTATTTAGCTTAACAAAGAGCAGGTTAAGGGTTGACTTGATCTCAGTCTCTAAGTACCTACGTGGGGAACAAATATGTAAAAATGGTCTTATCAGTCTAGCAGAGAAAGGCCTAACATGATCCCATGGCTGGAAGCTGAAACTAGACAAATTCAGACTGGAAATAAGGGGTAAATGTTTACCAGTGAGAGTAATTAACCATTGGACCAATTTACCAAGGGTTGCCGTGAATTTTCCATCACTGACAATGTTTAAATCAAGATTGGATGTTTTTCTCAAAGCTCTGCTCTAGGAATTATTTTGGGGCAGGTCTCTGGCCTGTGTTGTAGGAAGTCAGACTAGATGATCACAGTGGTCCTTTCTGGCCTTGGAATATATGAATCTTCCAGTATGTTACATGGCTCCCTGCTAGTGGCTGGGTCAGAGAGGATAACAACCAACTACTGCAGTCAATTAGTGCAGCTCCTCCTTGACTGCAGGTGCCAGGGTTCAGTGCTGCAGGGATGAAGGAGCTGGGCTCACCCCCGGCTGGCTGCGGGGCCATGTAGTAGGGGGGCAGGGGAGTTGCTGCAGGCTCTGGGCTCACGTCCAGCTATGGAGCTGTGGGGGGGTTTGTGCAGCTGCACCTGGTGGAATTTCTCGCCTGAGTTTTTCTTTTAGGAAATTCCACAGGACCAGGATGTGGCAGAGGTGGCCAAGGACTGCACTCGGGTGCTAGGAGATGGCCGCAGGCCAGCCGCCTGCGCCACCTTCCCCTTGCACAATTGCACCATGATGGTTTGTGATCACAAGCCCAACTGCCCAGACTCCCACCTCCATTCAGTGCCAAGGACGGATGGGAACAGGGTTGCTGGTATAACAAGCAGGCTCAGCCGGGCATTGTGGGCTGGAGGCATGGACCACTGGGTGGGTTCTCTGGCCTGTGTGATGCAGGAGGTCTGCCTAGCTGATCTAATTGTCCCTCCGGGCCTGAACATCTGTGAATCTGTTCAACATCCCTTCAGTCCACGGCCCTTGCCTCTTTCCCTGCACCAGACAGACTAGCCTACCCTCGATGGGGAACTGAGAATGAAAGCTGGTGGCTGTTCCACCAGATGCAGCCCCGGAAAGGGAATTTGGTGAGCATGCGACTCGCTGCAGAAAGGGAAGTTGGGGCAAGTGAAACCTGCTCGAAGCTGTGTGGTGTCAGCTGGATGAGCTGCTCCCGCCTGCTGCGAGTGGCTGGCCTTTGCACTGCAAGCTCACTTCCTGAGCAGGGGCTCACGTTCACTGCATGTGACACCCCTGGGGCAAACCCCTCCGTGGCACAGTGCATCCAGGCACCGCTGAATACACCTGCTGCTGCTTGAGGCAGCATGGCAGGAATTTCCCACAATCCTCTAGAGCTGCTCCCATCCTAGCATGCTGTGAAGCAGCACAGACCCTTCAAGTGGCCAACAAGGGCAGCCCATGGCTGGTTGGAGCAGCTGGGCTTTTTCTGGGGAGGCGTTAAGGCCCTGCCCCTAGTTTTAGCTTTGAAGAGGCTGCTCCTGGGGCCGGGCTAGGGGAGGGCAAATCCAGAAGAGGCAGGAGCTAGGGTTTCTGGATGGGCAGAGGGGGTGGGAGATTGGGGGGAAAGACATTGAGCAGCCAGTAAAAGGGGAGATTCAGCACATAAGTGAGGCAGCGCTGGGACTAGTAACCCACCATGGGCCCGATGGGCAGAGATGGCCGCACTAGGGCAGATGGTGAACGTACCAAGCAGAGAAGGAACCTGTATCAGACGCCTGTCCTGACAGGCACCTTCCCCGGTGATGGGACTCCCACCACCACTCACCAGGCGACTGGGTTTGGGGGAGCTGTGTAGGGCCTGGGGCACTCTGTCAGCTGTGGATTTCTGAGTCCATTGCTCCAGGGCCTGCTGAGCTGGCAGAGCTCACTGCAGAGACCCCGCTTGGCTTGCTCTCCTGTGGACTTGCTCTTGTGCTGTCTGGCCTGGTCATCTTCTTCAGGATATAGTAAGGATCCCTCTGATGGGTGCTGGCTGGAGATCAGGGCCAGGCTGAACATCAGCACTGCAGCCAATAGGGATGCAAGTATATACGGGGCACTCTCCCCTGGCAGTCAGTGCTGGCTCAATGCCTCAGGTCAGCACTAGGGGGCGCTGTGTTGAGATCCTTTGGGAACTCCAGGAGCTGGGCCTTGAAGAAAAGCTCCAAATATCAAGAGCTGGCAATAAGATTGGCACTTGCTGCGTCCGTGCTTACAAGAAAGGGGAGCAGGAGGCCATGCTGCCCCATCCCCATCCCCACCCCATCCCCAAATGCAGGCTGCTCTAGCTCTTTCCCTCTGAGATTTCCCCAGCGCCTAGAGACCGCCAAGGAGATCAGGGCCTCCTGCCTGGCAAAGGCCAGGACTCTCCCTGCCATGTGACCCTGGGGAGGTGTGGGGGCAGTTCCTGTGATCCTCTCCCATCCCGGTGCACCACCAGGCCAAGAGCTAAGCCCATCTTTGCCCCCTGTTGCAGCTAGTGACTGGGACTGGTCCCCTCCCTTTATACGGGCCCTCCAGCAAGTATGTGTGTGTGCAGGGGGAGGGTCAGCCCCATCTTGCTGCCAGGGAATCAGAGCCAATTTGCTCCTAGCACTGACCCCAAATTGACCCCAACACCCTTTGGAACCGGCAGCACCTAGTGAGGGTGCCACTTCCTGCTGGGGCAATAATGTCCCTTTAACTCTGCCCTGCTGGGTGCTCACCTCGGGGACCATGGGGTATTTTCTGGGCAAGTCTCCACTGCTGCCCCTGCAGGGGGCAAAGTTAAGGAGGTGCAGGCAGAATTAAGGTGATGGAGGGGCAGCGCTGGAGCTGAGTCCCCGCACAGTAGCAAGTGCCCTTGTGTCATCACAATATTCCAGGGTAGAGGCTGTAACTGGGCGTCCCTCAAAAATCAGATCCTGGGGGACAGGGGAACGTGGGAGGGGCAAGGGATCGTACCCCTCTATCTCCATCCCAAGGGGCAGCCTTGATGGAGGCAAGAGCGCCGAGGCTGGCCGGGCGGGTCCTGCCACTTTAAGAGATGCTCCCCACCCTTCCCCCTGGCCGAAAGGGGAAGTGCTGCCCGCTCCCTCCCCCGCCGCGGGTCCCAGCCCAGCCCGGACCGGAGCTTGCAGAATTCGCCAGCGCTATGGAGTCAGGTACCGGGGCCGGGGCGGCTCCTGCGCTTGATCCCCGTCTCGCCTGCACCCCTGCCCTGCTTTCCTCATGTCCCCCCTTCCCTCCCTCCTGCCCGCCCCATTCTCCTCCCCCCTTCCCAGCCCAAGAACCCCTGCACCTGCCCCACGTGCTCCTCCCCCGCCCCGGTGCCTCTTGTTGGGGAGGAATCTGCTCATTCTTGAGTCTTTCTGTGTCAGACGGAACTTCCTGAAACCCCCCCTCCCCCCCCGTCCCCAAACCAGGGGGCTGCGGGTCGGGAGTGAGGGGCCCTCGCGGTGCTGTGGGGGATCCAGGGCTGGGATAGCAGGGGGCTGTCGGGAGTGAGGGGCCCTGGCGGTGCTGTGGGGGGAGCCCAGGGCTGGGATAGCAGGGGGCTGTCGGGAGTGAGGGGCGCTGGCGGTGCTGTGGGGGGAGCCCAGGGCTGGGATAGCAGGGGGCTGTCGGGAGTGAGGGGCGCTGGCGGTGCTGTGGGGGGAGCCCAGGGCTGGGATAGCAGGGGGCTGTCGGGAGTGAGGGGCGTTGGCGGTGCTGTGGGGGGAGCCCAGGGCTGGGATAGCAGGGGGCTGTCGGGAGTGAGGGGCCCTGGCGGTGCTGTGGGGGGAGCCCAGGGCTGGGATAGCAGGGGGCTGTCGGGAGTGAGGGGCGTTGGCGGTGCTGTGGGGGGAGCCCAGGGCTGGGATAGTAGGGGGCTGTCGGGAGTGAGGGGCGGAGCTGTGGGGGGAGCCCAGGGCTGGGATAGCAGGGGGCTGTCGGGAGTGAGGGGCGCTGGCGGTGCTGTGGGGGGAGCCCAGGGCGGGATAGCAGGGGGCTGTCGGGAGTGAGGGGCGTTGGCGGTGCTGTGGGGGGAGCCCAGGGCTGGGATAGTAGGGGGCTGTCGGGAGTGAGGGGCGCTGGCAGTGCTGTAGGGGGAGCCCAGGGCGGGATAGCAGGGGGCTGTCGGGAGTGAGGGGCCCTGGCGGTGCTGTGGGGGGAGCCCAGGGCTGGGATAGCAGGGGGCTGTCGGGAGTGAGGGGCGCTGGCGGTGCTGTGGGGGGAGCCCAGGGCTGGGATAGCAGGGGGCTGTCGGGAGTGAGGGGCGTTGGCGGTGCTGTGGGGGGAGCCCAGGGCTGGGATACTAGGGGGCTGTCGGGAGTGAGGGGCGTTGGCGGTGCTGTGGGGGGAGCCCAGGGCTGGGATAGCAGGGGGCTGTCGGGAGTGAGGGGCGCTGGCGGTGCTGTAGGGGGAGCCCAGGGCGGGATAGCAGGGGGCTGTCGGGAGTGAGGGGCGTTGGCGGTGCTGTGGGGGGAGCCCAGGGCTGGGATACTAGGGGGCTGTCGGGAGTGAGGGGCGTTGGCGGTGCTGTGGGGGGAGCCCAGGGCGGGATAGCAGGGGGCTGTCGGGAGTGAGGGGCGGAGCTGTGGGGGGAGCCCAGGGCTGGGATAGCAGGGGCCTGTCGGGAGTGAGGGGCGCTGGCGGTGCTGTGGCCAGGTCGTGGCACTTTTCCCCATTCCTGTCTCTCTCTCCTGTGTCTGTGTCCCTGCAGGTGGCATTGTGAACCCAGTGATGGAGAAGGACCCCAATCACTACCAGGAGGCCGTGGGCAATGGGGTGGCAGCTGACAGACTGGTGGCGGGAGCTGGTGACGTGCCTGGCCTGGATGTGGGGGTGAGACCCCTATTCCCTGCTGAGCCTGTCTGGCTGTGCGCTGTGTCCTGGCGGCTGTGGGCTGAGGAAGGTCAGGGCTGGCTGGGCGAGGGCCAGCCGGGCCCCACAGTGCTTCCAGCAGTCACATGGCTCCCAGCCCAAGGGGTGTCGCTGTCTGGTGGGAGTGGGGATGGGGATTGGTGGGCAAGGAGGGCAGCCGCTATGCTGGCAGTTCCAGAAGTGCCCGGCAGGGCCCCTCCATGGAGCAGTGTGGATAGCAAAGTGAGGGGCTGGCCCCTGGGAAAAGGGGTTCCGATTCTGGCCCCGCCTCCCTCATGGCTCCCTGGTTCTCCTCAGCTGGATGACTTTGTGGGTGCCAACCCCGACTATAACGAGGAGGAGGAGGAGCGCAAGTACTTCCGCCGCAAGCGCCTCGCCGTCGTCAAAAATGTGCTTGCAGCCAGCCTGGGCGGGATGCTGACCTATGGCGTCTACCTGGGTATGGCCCGCCCACTGCCCCCCAGGCGTCTACCTGGGTATGGCCCGCCCACTGCCCCGCCCTGCCCACTGTCCCCCAGGCGTCTAGCTGGGTATGGCCCACCCACTGCCCCCCAGGCATCTAGCTGGGTATGGCCCACCCACTGCCTCACCTCTGTCTCCTGGCCCCACCCATTGGCCCGCAGCCTGGATGGGGTGCTGACTTACAGGATCTACCGGGGTATGCTCCCCCACTGTCCCTGCCTCCTGGCCGCCCCCACCCTCAGCCTGGGTGTCTCCCTAAGTATGGCCGACCCACTGCCCTGCCTCTGCCTGGCCCCACCCACTGCCCCCTACCTGGGCGTGATGTTGGAATACGGCATCTATCTATGTTACAGACCACTGTTCTGGGGGCCCCCTCCCGCTAACTGTGTGCAGGGTTTTTCCTGGTGCCCCCACAACTTTTCCTCTGTGTCCCACCCCCCTTCCCTTGCAGATAGCTGCTGTGGGGACCTCAGCAGGTCATCTAGTCCAACCCCCTGCTCAAAGCAGGACCAATCCCCAATTTCTGCCCCAGATCCCTGAATGGCCCCCTCAGGGATTGAGCTCACAACCCTGGGTTTAGCAGGCCAATGCTCAAACCACTGAGCTGTCCCTCCCTGCCTCTCCACTCACTCCCTGGGTCCTGTGTCGCTGCCCCTCCAATCCCAGGAGAGTGTGGGGAGGAATGGAGGTGGGTCAGATCTCAGCCTGATTCCAAGCATCCAGGGCCCTTGCATGGCAGCCCCTCGGCCCTGGTAACTTCCCCCATCCTTTCCCAGCTGCCCCATCCTGCAGGGGCTGGGGAAGAGGCCCTGTCCCTCTGGGTTCAGTTCCCCCATGTGCTGGGCTGGGCTCATGGGGTGCAGGGCAGGATTCACCCTGGTGCATCCGGCCCCGCCAGGCCTGCTGCAGATGCAGCTGATCCTGCACTATGACGAGACGTACCGGGAAGTGAAATACAGCAACATGGGGCTGCAGGACATCGACAGCAAGATGCTGATGGGCATCAATGTCACCCCCATTGTGGCTCTGCTCTACACGCCCATCCTCATCAGGTACCTGCCCTGCCCACCAGCCCACCACACCCTCCGGAACCTGAGAGATCCCTCCCTCCCGAGCCAGCCCCCGCTCTGGTGCCCCTTACAGGGGAAAGGCTCCATGTCCCATTCCCTGCCCCCTTGAGCCAGTCCCTGCCCTGGGGCTGATCAGAGCTGGTGCCCCTGCCCACTGAGGTAGCGCCCCCTGTGGTGAACAGACCCACGTCCTATCCCCGAGGCAGACAGAGCCCCATGTCTCCTCATGGGGGGGGAGGGGAGGGACGGGGACATGGAGGTCCTACTGCTGACCCAGCTCCCCATGTGACTGCCCAGGTTCTTCGGCACCAAGTGGACCATGTTTCTGGCCGTGGGGATCTACGCCCTCTTCGTCTCCACCAACTACTGGGAGCGCTACTACACGCTGGTGCCCTCGGCCGTGGCCATCGGCGTGGCCATTGTGCCCCTCTGGGCCTCCATGGGCAACTATGTCACCCGGTGAGCTGCCATGGAGCAAGGCCCTGCCTGCTGGGGGGGGGGGGCGCGCTGGCGTTTCTGCAGGGGGATGGGTGCTCAGGGGTTGGCGAAGGAGGGGTTGTGACCCCTGGTGGGCACTGTGTGGCTCATGGGGCTGCTGCTCCACACCCTCCTTCCCCCATTTCGTGCTCATAGTTGCCCCCTGCAGGATGGCGCAGAAGTACTACGAATACATGAACTACAAGGAGGAGCATGTGCAGGAGCAGCAGCGTGCCCCACGTGGTGCCTACAACGCCTACATCATCGCCTTCCAGAGCCTCTTCTACGGCTGCTTCCACGTGAGGCAGGGCCTGGGGGTACGGGGGGGGGGGCAGGGAGATGTGCCAGGGGCTAGGTGTTGGCTGGCCAGGGAGGAGGGCTGGGCCTTGGGGGCTGGGGGTACTGGGGGAGGAGGCAGGGAGGTGGCCCATTGTCTAGGTGTTGGCTGGGCACTGAGGCATCGGTACTGGGAATGGGGTGGGTAAAAGCAAGGCACTGGGGAGCGGGCAGGGAGGTGGACTAGGCACTGGGGCTGTATTGGGGGGCATGGAGCTAGGCCGGACGTGGGAGGAGAACTGGGGGAGGCTGGGCGTGGGGGGGACACTGGGGGGAACAGGGAGGTGGGCTGGGCGCAGGGGGCACTCTGGCTGCAGCTTGGTTCTCATGTGCCAAGTCCAGGAAATGCAGCTGGCTGTGCTGGCCCAGGGGCTGGCCTGGGCAGTGCTGGGCCTCGTGTCCCAGGACAGAGCTGCGGGTGGAGTGGAGTGTGCTAGTGTGGCCGGGCTGGGGTAGGAGACACCCCCCCCACACACACACACACGCACGGGACAGGCCCGGCCTCACCTCCTCCCCATTCCTGGGTTCCAGCTGAGCTTCGTCTGCGCCCAGATGCCCATGCTTTTCTTCCTGAATTCGTACCTGTACGACCTGAACCACACGCTCTGCAATGTGAAGAACTGCGGTGAGCATTTGCGGAGGGGGCGCTTCCTGCTGGCAGAGGGGCAGCGTTACCCAGCCAGTGCAGACTGGCTCCTCCTGCCCCATCCTTATCCTTGCCACTTACACTCCCCTCACCCCAGTGCTCCCGCCTGTTGCTCCCTGACATGTCCCCTGCCCGCTGCCCCTGCCCCCTCCTCGCTGCCGGAGCGCCCGCCCTGAGTCCCACGCCATCCTGTAGGTGGGGCTCTGGGCGCCCCCTGCAGGCCGGTTGGGCTGTGACACCGTGTTTGCTCCTCAGGCACACTGAGCAAAGGCATGCTCCCCGGCTTCAACGCCACGGTGCTGCAGAGCCTGCCACGCAGCATTAACCTCATCATCGTCGAGAGTGTGCTCATGGGCGTAGCCTTCCTCTCCATGCTCATGGTATGGACCAGCAGGGGAGTGTGTAGGGGGCCTTCCTCTCCATGCTCATGGTATGGACCAGCAGGGGAGTGTGTAGGGGGCCTTCCTCTCCATGCTCATGGTATGGACCAGCAGGGGAGTGTGTAGGGGGCCTTCCTCTCCATGCTCATGGTATGGACCAGCAGGGGAGTGTGTAGGGGGCTTTCCTCTCCATGCTCATGGTAGGGACTGGTGGGGTGGGGCGGGGCATAGAATATCAGGGTTGGAAGGGACCTCAGGAGGTCATCTAGTCCAACTCCTGCTCAGTAGGGCAGTGGGGGGCCTTTCTCTCCATGCTCATGGTATGGACTGGTGGGAGGGAATGGGGGCAGGGCTTTCCTCTCCATGCTGTGCCACCCCTCTCCATGCTCACCACGCAGAGCTCCCCAAGGTGGGTGTGATGGGGTCAAGGAGCCCATGGTGGGAGCTGTGGAATGGGGCAGTTGCTGGAGAGGGGTCTACAGCCTCCACACCCAACCTGACCCACAGCCTTGGCCAGCTCTTCCCATCACTCCCTAGCTCACCCTATGCAAGCAGTGGCAGTGCTCCCCCTTGGAGTGGGGTCCCTACCCCTCTGGGTTTCAGGGTCTCCCATACTCACCTCCCGCCCCCAGGTGCTGATCCTGTGCGGCTCGGCTTATCGCCCCACGGAGGAAATCGACCTGCGCAGCATCGGCTGGGGCAACATCTTCCAGCTGCCCTTCAAGCACATGCGGGACTATCGCCTGCGCCACCTCTTCCCCTTCTTCATCTACAGCGGCTTCGAGGTGCTCTTCGTCTGCACCGGCTTCTCCCTGGTACAGCTGCGCCCATTTCCGTGGGGGTGGGGGAGGCCACAGCAGAAGGAGTGGAGTACAGTGCTCTGGTGGGGGGCTGGGCACAGGCAAAGGGGTGGGGGTCTGCACTATGGGGGTGGGGCTGCGTGTAGCAGAAGGGGTGGGGATTTGGATGGGGGTGCCCTCTGCCAGGGGCTGGGGGAGCAGGGGGACTGCCCTCTGCTGGGGGAGCAGGAGTGGGAAGGGGGGCTGCACTCTGGTTGGGGGCCAGCCATGCCATGCTAACCAGCATCTGCCCCCCCCAGAATTACGGCGTCTGCGCCATTGGCCTGGAGAAGCTGGCCTACATCATCATGGCCTATGGCTTCTCGGCCGCAGCTTGCTCCAGCCTGGCGCTGTCCATGCTGCGCCTGCCCCGCCAGGCCCCACTGCTGGCTGGAGCTGCCGCGCATGCCATCTTGCTCATCGGCCTGTTCTGCTGGGCACCCCACCCGCGTGTCCTGGACCAGGCCCCCCTGCTCTACTTGGTGGCAGCGCTTTGGGGGCTGGGCAGCGCCCTGAACAAGACCAGCCTCAGCAGTGAGTAGTGGGGTCAGGGGTGGTGGGGTGGAGTGTAGCCCCGGGCCCAATATCAGCCGGACCCTGCCCGTCGCTCCCAGTGATACCTCCACCCCATGGGGGAGGCAGCCCAGTGGCTCTGGAATGGGGCTTTGGGCCTGTCTGTGCAGTTGGAAGGTCCCCCCACCCCTCCCCTGGCCCCAGTGGACCCGGGAGCTGTGACCTTGTCCAGTGTGGGGGAGGAGCTGCTGTCTGTATGTCTGTCTGTCTGTCTGTCCGTCCCCCCGCAGCGCTCCTGGGGATGCTGTACCAAGACAAGGAGCGCCAGGACTTCGTCTTCACCATCTACCACTGGTGGCAGGCGCTGGCCATCTTTGTGGTGTACCTGTGGTCGGGGCTGCCCATGAAGGTAAGCGGGAGCTGCTCCCAGCCTGCTCTCCAGTGGGGCAGGGCACAGGGGGCTGGGTCATGGGAGGTGCAGGCCTGAGGCCACGATCCCCAAAGGGCGCAGGAGTGATGTGGGACAGGAGCCATTTTCACCAGCCGTAGGGGCAATTGCCCTGCTCCCCAGCGGGGCCGTGAGAGACTTTCCTTTGGTTCTAGATCAAACTGTTTAGTCATGGGCCTGGCCCTGGCCTCAGTCAGGACAAGCCCCTTCCTGGAACTGCCTCTCCCATCATTTCCCCCTCTGGGTGAGGTAGGCAGCCTGGCCCAGATGGTTGGGCGGGAGGGGTGACCCTAGCCTGTCCCCTCTCCTGGGCCCAGCTGGTGGGGGGCAGGGGTGGGGGAGAGTCCAGCCCTACCCCTGCTCAGCCTGCGCTCTCCCTTCCCCCAGGCCAAGCTGTCCATCATGCTGCTGACCCTGGTGGCCTCGGTGCTCTCCTACCTGTGGATGGAGCACAAGCTGGGGCGGCACGTGCTCTACCGCGTGCCCAAGATCCCCAAGCCGCGGCACAAGGTGCGGGGCTACCGCTACCTGGAGGCCGAGAACTCAGACGAGACGGGTTCGGAGGGGGAGTCTGAGCAGGACAGTGACAGCTCCCAGCAAGAGCAGGCAGGGCCCGGTGGGCAGCGGCACCAGCAGAAGTGTGCTTACGAGCAAGCACTGGGGGAGGAGGATGGGGAGAACGTGGGCTAGGGAGCCCGCCACCATCACCAACTCACTGCAGCTTTCCCCCCATCTTGCCCATTGGCTGTGGTGCTGGATTGTCCCCACCGAACTGTGCCAGCTGGGCCTGGCAGCATCTCCCACCCTCTTCCAGGCCTGGTGGGAGGGGCCTGGAGGCAGAGAGAGGACCCCGCACATCAAGGTGACCCGGTGACTACTCCAGAGGGCATTGGAGCCCTGTTCCGCTGGGACTCCCAGTCCACTTCACAAAGCAGGTTTGCTATGGGGCTGTTTAGCATCCGTCCCTCCGGGCTGCCCCCAGAGCACCCCCTGCACTGGTTGGGGTCTCCAGGGGCCTTGGTGCTGTTGGAGCTGGTCGGGAATCAGGCCCGGTCTCCCAGGGCAGGCACCGGCTCGTGTCAGCTCTGGACTGTGCATGGTGCTGTCTGTAATGGGCCGGGCCCAGCCCAGCCCAGCCCTGGGTAGTGCGTAGAGAGGCTGGTGCACTGTGGAGTAGTACTGTGTTACCATGCCTGATACTCGGGCTTGGGATCTGCCCTCTGCCAAACGTGGAGTGGCTGGCACTGATTGTTGCCCTTTGTGCATGGGCACCACTGCTGTTCCCATCTGAAAAGGGCAGCAGTTGCTTTTCCCAGCACACATGGTGCCCACATAAGGGGACGATGCCAGCCCCCACAGCTGCCTTTTCCTGGCAAAGCAAGGGAGGGGCATGGAGAGCTTTCTGCCAGTGCCCCCTTCCAGGAGGGGAGGGCCCAGCCCCATACTCAGCAGCCTACTGAGGCCTGGCACCTGTGTGAGCGGGGAAGCCCATGAGGCCAGGCCAGCCTGGGCACTGGTGCTGTAAAGCCCTGTCCTGCAGTAGAGGAGCTGTGATTCCTGCTGCTCGAGCTGCTTTTCCCTGTCCCTGCCCCACCAGCCCCCGCAAGAAGCAGAGCATACCATGTCTGCAGGCTGAGTTCTGGATACTGGACACTGCCCCCCACACCTCCCGTGTCCTACTGTGCTTTGTAAAGGCCCTTTCCCAATAAAGATCCTCTCTCTGAGCTGCCGGGACTGTGTGTATCTGGGCTGAGGGGGCTGCTGGGTTGTGTTCTGGGTGGGGAGGTCATTCACGGGCCAGATGCCCATGCACTCTGGCACTCTGGCCCAGACCAGCTATTGCCACCTGGGGCTCATAGTTGCCTTGCCAGGCTGGCTCCCTGGCCTCTCAGTGAGGAACCCAGAGAGGAGTGGGGCACTCTGTGAAGGGAAGGAGGCAGCAGGAGGGGGCACTCAACTCTGATCTTCCTCAAGAGGAGGGTGAAACAGTCTGAACGCATCATGATGGCGGGGGGGAGGTGCTGTGGCAGGGCCGGGCCTTCGGGGGACAGCCGCTGCCCACGGACCTGGCTTGGCATGGAGTGGGTGGGCCATGTACTCACTAGGCACGGGGCTGTGCGAGTGGCTCCTACAGCATGTGCTCCCCAGAGCAGCTGTTCAGCACCTACCGTGGAGGAGCTAGGTGTCACTGGCCCCTATAAGCTATTTTCAATCCCTCTTGCCAACCTGGAACTGCCCCTGCTCCAGCCATCCAGACAGGCACCCAAAACAGCAGGCCAGGAACAGAGCGCCCTCCCCCAGCCATGGGGCTGCCCATCAATTACAGAATACGCTTTAGGTGGTTTTCCAGACCCAGCCACCCCCTAATGTCATTGGGATTATTTTAAATCAAAGCTGCAGAAGCTATCAGAAGCCTGCATCCCAAGAAAGGGGAAAAAATTCATAGGCAGGAGTTGTAGACCAAGCTGGATGAGCAAGCATCTCAGAGAGGTGATTAAGAAAAAACAGAAAGCATACAGGGAGTGGAAGATGGGAGGGATCAGCAAGGAAAGCTACCTTATTGAGGTCAGAACAGGGAGGGATAAAGTGAGACAGGCTGAAAGTGAAGTAGAGTTGGACCTTGCAAAGGGAATTAAAACCAATAGTAAAAGGTTCTATAACCATATAAATAAGAAGAAAACAAAGAAAGAAGAAGTGGGACCGCTAAACACTGAGGATGGAGTGGAGGTCAAGGATAACCTAGGCATGGCCCAATATCTAAACAAATACTTTGCCTCAGTCTTTAATAAGGCTAAAGAGGATCTTAGGGATAATGGTATCATGACAAATGGGAATGAGGATATGGAGGTAGATATTACCATATCTGAGGTAGAAGCGAAACTCAAACAGCTTAATGGGACTAAATCGGGGGGCCCAGATAATCTTCATCCAAGAATATTAAAGGAATTGGCACATGAAATTGCAAGCCTATTAGCAAGAATTTTTAATGAATCTGTAAACTCAGGGGTTGTACTGTATGATTGGAAAATTGCTAACATAGTTCCTATTTAGGGATTAATAACAAGAATTTTAGTTATAAGCTGGGGATGCATCAATTAGAAGTAATGGAGGAGGAAAAGGACCTTGGAGTATTGGTTGATCGTTGGCGGCTCATAGTCATCCTATGTGATATGGCTGTGAAAAAAGCTAATGCGGTCTTGGGATGCATCAGGAAAGGTATTTCCAGTAGGGATAAGGAGGTTTTAGTACCGTTATACAAGGCACTGGTGAGACCTCACCTGGAATACTGTGTGCAGTTCTGGTCTCCCATGTTTAAGAAGGATGAACTCAAACTGGAACAGGTACAGAGAAGGGCTACTAGGATGACCCGAGGAATGGAAAACTTGCCTTATGAAAGGAGACTCAAGGAGCTTGGCTTGCTTAGCCTAACTAAAAGAAGGTTGAGGGGAGATATGATTGCTCTCTATAAATATATTGGAGGGAAAAATACCAGTGAGGGAGAGGAATTATTTAAGCTCAGTACAAATGTGGACACAAGAACAAATGGATATAAACTGGTCATCAGGAAGTTTAGACTTGAAATTAGACGAAAGTTTCTAACCATCAGAGGAGTGAAGTTTTGGAATAGCCTTCCAAGGGAAGCAGTGGGGGCAAAAGATCTATCTGGCTTTAAGATTAAACTTGATAAGTTTATGGAGGAGATGGTATGATGGGATAACATGGTTTTGGTAAAATAGGCCCAATGGCCTGTGATGGGATATTAGATGGGGTGGGATCTGAGTTACCCAGGAAAGAATTTTCTGTAGTATCTGGCTGGTGAATCTTGCCCATATGCTCAGGGTTTATCTGATCGCCATATTTGGGGTCGGGAAGGAATTTTTCTTCAGGGCAGATTGGAAGAGGCCCTGGAGATTTTTCACCTCCCTCTGTAGCATGGGGCACGGGTCACTTGCTGGAGGATTCTCTGCTCCTTGAAGTCTTTAAACCACGATTTGAGGACTTAAATAGCTCAGACATAGGTGAGAGGTTTTTCGCAGGGGTGGGTGGGTGAGATTCTGTGGCCTGTGTTGTGCAGGAGGTCAGACTAGATGATCATAATGGTCCCTTCTGACCTTAGTATCTATGAAACAGCCCCCATGCCCAAGGCCCCCTGCCCTGCAGCCTGGGCAGCTGTGCCCCCAGGCTGCTCAGAGGGCGGGCTGACCCCCGATAGGCCAGACAAGCAGCTTTCCACACCCACTGGGCCCAAGTGCAGCCCCAGCCGGGAGGCAGGCCCTATGGGTACAGTGTGGGCCAAGTGGAGGCATGGACACGTGGGGATGGGGCAGAGGAGGCGGCTTGGCTGGAGTTAACCCCATGGCGGGGGCAGAGCAACAGAGGTGAGTGCCAGGAGCAATGTGGAAGTTTATGTGGCAATTGGAGTGATATGGAAGGCTCCAGAACATTTGGGGGAGACAACAAGTTGGAGTGACGCAGAAGGTTCTGGTGTGGTTGAGGATGGCAGTTGGATTGGCACAGAAGGGTATGTGGCAGTAGGAACATAACATAAGAATGGCCCTACTGGGTCAGACCAAAGGTCCATCTAGCCCAGTATCCTGTCCTTCGACAGGGGCCAGTGCCAGGTGCCCTAGAGGGAATGAACAGAACAGGTCATCATCAAGTGATCCATTCCCTGTCGCCCATTCCCAGCTTCTGGCAAACAGAGGATAGGGACACCATCCCTGCCCATCCTGGCTAATAACCATTGATGGACCTATCCTCCATTAATTTATCTAGTTCTTTTTTGAACTCTGTTATAGTCTTGGCCTTCACAACATCCCCTGGCAAGGAGTTCCACAGGTTGACTGTGTGTTGGGTGAAGAAATACTTCTTTTTATTTATTTTAAACCTGCTGCCTATTAATTTCATTTGGTGACCCCTAGTTCTTGTGTTATGAGAAGTAGTAAAAAACACTTCCTTATCTACTTTCTCTACACCAGTCATGATTTTATAGACCTCAATCATATCTCCCCTTAGCCATCTCTTTTCCAAGCTGAAAAGTCCCTGTCTTATTAATCTCTTCTCATACGGAAACCGTTCCATACCCCTAATAATTTTTGTTGCCCTTTTCTGAACCTTTTCCAATTCCAATATATCTTTTCTGAGATGGGGCGACCACATCTGCACACAGTATTCAAGATATGGGCATACCATGGATTTATATAGAGGCAACATGATATTTTCTAACCTATTATCTATCCCTTTCTTAATTATTCCCAGCATTCTGTTTGCTTTTTTGACGGCCACTATACATTGAGTGGATGTTTTCAGAGAACTATCCACGATGACTCTGATATCTCTTGAGTGGTAACAGCTAATTTAGACCCCAATAATTTATATGTATAGTTGGGATTATGCTTTCCAATGTGCATTACTTTGCATTTATCACCATTACATTTTATCTGCCGTTTTGTTGCCCAGTCACCCAGCTTTGAGAGATCCTTTTGTAGCTCTTCGCAATCTGTCTGGGTCTTAACTATCTTTAGTAATTTTGTATCATCTGAAAATTTTGCCACCCCACTGTTTACCCCTTTTTCCAGATCATTTATGAATATGTTGAATAGGACTGGTCCCAGAACAGACCCGTGGGGGACACCACTATTTACCTCTCTCCATTCTAGGAGTGATGCAGAAGGTTCTGGCGTGTTGGAATGGCACAGAAGGGTCTGTGACAGTAGGAGCGACGCAGAAAATTCCCTGGCAGGTGGTGGCAGGTTCCAGTGTAGTTGAGTATGGCAGTTTCATGACCAAGATGTGGGCAGCCTGCCCTAGTGGTCAAAGCAGGGGGCAAACTGAGAGTCAAGCATCAGGAGGCAGGCAGGGTCAGGTTACTAGGAGGGAGGCAAACTTGAGAGCAGAACCACGGATCAATAATTGGAGTCAGACTAAGGGCTTGGCTACACTTGCAGATGTAGAGCGCTGGGAGTTAAACCACCCTTTGGAGACCGCAGCAGGGAAAACGCTGTCGTGTGTTTACACTGTTAGCTGCAAGTACACTGGCGTGGGCACATTAGCAGCTCTTGCAACGCCACAAAGAGCAGTGCATTGTGGTAGCTATCCCAGTGTGCAAGTGGCTGCCACGTGCTTTTCAAAGGGGGGGGCAGTGGTGGAATATGACAGGGAGTGTGTTGTGTGTATGTGGGGGGAGAGACAGTGTGTTTTGGGCGGTCGAGAGTGTGTCAGCATGCTGTCTTGTAAGTTCAGACAGCAGAATCTGCAAGGATTCTAAAAATTAATACTGTACACTCCAGGCTTGTATTAAACTCCCAAAGTGCCAGCTTTTCTCTGACCTTGGACTGGTAGATGCTGCCACCACCCAACTGCAAAACCCCTTTGAGAGACCTGGAAGGCAAACTTGGGAATTCCTTCCTGTGCCGTACCCTCAAGCCCTTTCACCCCTGCCCCCACGGGGAAGAGCTGAGAAAGGGGAAAAAAAGAAACCAGCTGTTGCCACCAGTTAATGAAAAAAGTGTGCACAAGCCTCTTAAAACACAAAAATCCAATTCTGTTCTTAAAGGTAAATTTTATTAATAAAAGAAAAAAGAAAGAAAATACATCTGGGAAATCAGGCTTTTGCCAGATTAAAAAAAACCCAAAAACCAATTACAAGGATTAAGCATCAAGAATAGTTTACTTGAGGTCCAGCTTAAAGGTTACTAGCAAAACAACAGCACCTGGGGCTTAG